AGGTACGTGTATTTTGATGCATTACATAGTAATCAATCAAAAAGTCGATTTTGAATTTTTTGTAACTTACGCCTTTTTTGATTTCATATGACGATATACACTTTGTGAGGTCTAAAATGTATATTTCGTTCGGTCTTTTGAAGTTCGGATGTGCATAGTTTTCTAGTTTACCTTTAACTTATTTTTCTTCAAATTGCAAGGCAAATGGCAGACAAATAGAAGTTTTGGTTTTCGCACGTAAGTAAATAAAGAGAGATTTTATCTGTAGGAAAAATTTGGTTCACCTAATTTCATCACAAAAAAAAACAAAATGCCCAAGTAGACATTCAAAAAATATCAATCGTTCATTCACAAAATTTAAACAAAGTAAAATATTGTGTTTGAAAATGGATATTGCACACGAAAGGTATGGTCAATTTCATTTGCTTTGCTGTGTCGATTCCAACAGGTGTGCTTCTTCCCTGCTCTAAACTCTAACCCCACACAAAATTAGGCGCCAATTGGTATGTAATTATTAGTTGAGAGACTACAAAATAAGAAAAATCTCTTGTTGATCCATTTCAAGACTTAAAGGATCCTAACCCTGACTCAACGCAAAATTTCGTGAGGTTTGCGACATAATTGCGACGTTACGTGATTACAAATAAAAATGGACAGATCGAAACACATAGCTAAATCTACCAGCTCGACGAGATAGGTAGATACATATATAAAATCGTGGATCTAGAACCAATATTTCGAGATTTGTGGCATCACCTAGCCTTTGGCGGATTAGGTTGATATTTTCGCCACCCCCAGTTACATTTTAATTTCAAATAGAAAATCCAAAACCGGCGCCCGGACATAATCTCCACCGCCATAATCTCCATTGCAATTATGGGGATTATGACCTTTTTCGGTCAGATAAATTAGCCGAAGTCGGACAGACAGGGTGATATAAAAAACTGCAACAAAGTCAAACGCCATAATTTTTTCATTTTTTTAATTTTATTGAATGAAAGAGAAAAATGTCGTCAAATTTTAGAATAAGTTTAGATTTGTTCGAATTGGTCACCTTTGGCACGAATTATGGGCTTCAAACGGCCAATGAAACCATCACACGCTGCCCGAATGTTACTCTGCGGTATTTTGTCCCATTCCCGGCGAAGCGCTTGCTTGAGATGATCGACACTTTGGTATTTTTTAGTTCCAACCTTGCTTTTCAAAATACTCCAGACACAATAGTCCAACGGATTGGTATCCGGAGAAACCTCATTTTGTAACTATTCTTGGGTGGCGTCTGCTGAGTGCGATGGTGCTGAGTCCTGTTGGAATGTCCAAGGTATGCAGCCAAAATGTTTGCGTGCCCAAGGCTTTAATACACCCTCCAGAATATTTTCGCGATAATATTCGTAATTTTTTCTAATGCCACGTTCGATTAATACGAGCGGAGAGGGACTATCGGCTGTTATGGCGGCCCACACCATCACCATGGCCGGCACTTGACGAACATCGATCATTTTGTTTGTTTACAAACTGCTGGACAACAAATGTTTTCTCATCGGAGAGCCCAAATTCGGCAGTTCACCACTTTCGGTCATTTTCCAGTCCATTTTCTTTCTGTTGCGGTGTAAGTTCTTGCACTTTTTGGAATTTCAATGGCTTTACCCAGAGCTCATTTTTCAATATTTGCCGAATGGAATATTGCGATATGTTCAGCTCACAAGCCATTTTTCGGTCATTGCGACGCGGGTTTCGATCAAGTCGCTTCTTTACTTTTCGAACCATTTCTGCCGATGTTGCTATTTTCTTCCGTCCACTTCCTTGACGTCGGGCTACGCTACTAGTATCACGGTAACGAGACACAAAAGATTTATTCACATTTAAATGCTTGAGTGTTCTAACGATAGCCACTTGTAGTTTTCCAGCCAAATATAAAGAAATCACACATTCACGCTTGAATTCCATCTCGAATAACTTCTTTCTGAGCTGTCACTGGAATGATTTTAAAAGCTATCGGACGAGTGACTTAGAAATGACAGCAGTCTGAAGTTTGTTGCAGTTTTTTCATCTCACCCTATACGTCGGACCAATCTTCTGACTTTAAACAGACGTGTTGGACTCCAACGTTTAATTTGCTGGGTACCACCATCGTAACTAACACCGTTTTGACGCTGACTCGGATCCTGTCACAACACAGCTCGGTAATAGCATAGTTTATGTAATTCTAAAGTTCATGTTCATCTCTTCCCGAAGGATGCTCCTTCCGGGGTGAGAAAGCGATATCAAACGCGATGATTTCTATCGCTTAGGCGTGACTTCTATGTTATTTGGGGGATAGTTTTTGCTTGCTGGGGTTATTGTTACTTTTTCCAATGTTCATTTGCATAGAACTCTTACTTATTAGATGAAATATTCAAACATTTCCTTTTTAAAAACGTGATGTCTGGATTGGGAATCGAACCGAGGTGTTCAGAGAGCAAAGCTTGCATGCTTACCACTGCGCCACAGTGTCTTATAGTTCTTAGATAGAATACCCAGCAAGCATTTTTTGTCGCTGACATAACTAAAGAGTCACCAACAGGCGATGAAAACCCTCGCCGGCGATGTCGAATCTTTAACCAAAAAGTTAAACCGTTCGGGAAGAAATGAACCACGCACTCGTTACTTCTCAACATTGACTTTTTAGTGGCAGAAGAAATTAAAGACTAAGTAACGTTCAGTCGTTACAATAAAGGTAATTTAAGGAAGTAACGAGAGCGTGGTTCATTTCTTCCCGAACGGTTTACCTTTTTGGTTAAAGATTCGAGATTGAGGGCGTGGGTTTTCATCGACTGTTGGTGACTTTATTGATTTGTATACGATATGCAATGCCTTCAGAAAGTAAAAAAGAGCTGGAAGTCTTTAAAATAAAATTATTATTTGTTTAACAAAAAGCATAAGTAAAACACAGTTATTAACACAAAATTTAATTTTATTTTTTCACTAAATAATATTAATTTTTTTATTTTTGTATATCACTTCTTTTTTAAAAAATTATTTGAACACATACACTAAAAAATACTGAAAAAGGGCACAACTATATTTCACTAAATAATTTAAATATATTTTTTCATTTAATAGATTTTTTTTCATTCGTGCACCAATGCCGATCTCCGACAAACTGAACCCGTTTAATTTTGTTCTCCGTTTTGGGAGTAAAACAAAACAATCGCTCTTTAATCTTCGGGAAGTGCCAAAAAAGTTACTATTGGAGATGAAAATTAGTTGATTGTAGTGGGGCAATAGAATTGTTATTGCAAATCGACCAACTATCGACGTTTCACAAGCAGGAAGCGACAAAGTAGTATAATATTAGGTGATGGAGTTAAAAACTAACATCCAAATGCTTGCAGGGTAAAGTCTTATTTATGTTCAATTCGTGAATGATTGCAAACTATCACTGTTTTATCCGATGGCAGTCACTAGATAGTGTCAGCACACGCGAGACCTTCTTTTAACTTTCTTGCGTTTTGTTATTATGTACCTACTATCGCATTTATTAGGATTAGAAGCGTCGCAGAAGTGGCATCTTAAAATGGAAGTGAATTACTCACTTCCAAATGCTTGCAGGGACAATAAAAAATAAATGCTTAAGTCTGGAGTAAAAAAAAAATGTTTTTTTTCCCACTTCCAATAACTATCGAGGAAGTGACTTTCACGATTATTACAAGTAACGCCGTATGCTCTATTCAGTCATGCCTAAAAATATCGCGGGAGTGGTTCATCTCTTCCCGAAGGATGCTCCTTCCGGAGTGAGAAAGCGATATGAATCGCGATGATTTCTATCGCTTAGGTGTGACTTCTAAGTGATTTGCGGGATATTTTTAGCTTGCTGTGTTAGTATGCTTAATCTGGAGTATTTTTTTTTTCTTTTGATTTTTTCACTTCCAATAACTATCGAGGAAGTGACTTCCACGATTATTGGAAAACTATCGCGGGCGTGGTTCATCTCTTCCCGAAGGATGCTCCTTCCGGGGTGAGAAAGCGATATCATACGCGATGATTTCTATCGCTTAAGCGTGACTTCTAAGTGATTTGGGGGATAGTTTTTGCTTGCTGGGACGTTTGCAATATATGGTGAAAAATACACATACATCCAAACACAACAACGGCAAGACAAAAACAGAATAATTACTCAGCAATAGTAGAATCTAGTAGAATCGATTCTGAACAAATTTTGCTCCCACTCAAAAACGAGAAAAACATGCTCACTCCTATTCAAGCGACATCGAGAAATTGAGTTTGCTCCATTTTTTCTGCTCCCAGGAGCATCGATTCGCTCTTTGAGCGAAATCGAGGAAATATTTTGGAGGCTTGTCAAAATTTAACTCGGTTTATTTCAAATAATTGTGTGATAATTATTTTTCATCACGGTCAATCCCAAAAAGAGTGTACTGAACAAAAATATTAAATAATGTTACTTTGAAAATGATTTTATATCATATTTTTTGATTTTTAGTTATCTTATTCGAACTTTACTTTAAATTATTTCAAATGTAAGTTTACTAAAATTGAGCTCGAGATCTTTGTTGTTTTTTTTTTAATAATATTTATTTATTATTTTCGACATTTCGTCCTCCGAAATTTGACAAAACAAATGACTGCAACGCAAGGTCGACGTCGGTACTTGGCGAGATTTTGAATATTTTTAAATATTGATCATCTTGATGATGTCTTCCTTCGGAGGACGAAATATCGAAAAATATATAAATTTTATTAAAAGACAACAAACACCTCGAGCTCAATTTTAGTAAACTTACATTTGAAATAATTTTATATCACATTCTTACTAATGCTTGTATTTAGCGCGTTTAATTACTTATATTAGTGCGATTTCCAATGTAGATGTCTGTATATACATCTTAACGTAATTAGGCTACAGCTACAAATCTTAATTAACAAATCTTGTCTACACATTCCAACTGAAGTATTTTATATTGCATGTGATGGTAAAGAAATGCCAATTTTTAAAAACATACCTATTAAATATGATGCTTTAAAGTCAAAATAGCGCATTAGTATTCCGATTGTAAATAAACTGCGGCGAAACATAGGGGTATAAATATTTTCCAATATTTGGTTATTTTGTATAATTTGGCTTCTGCTATAATCCAAAATTCTGTAAAACCTGCAAAGAAAAAAATATTAATTCTAGCGGAATTAAAATACATACATATGTGCATAGACTGGCATGACTTTTTGCCTATACTTGTAAATTATACTCAAATATGTAAAGAAGAAATAGTGTATATTTGATTAATATAATTTATACCCTTAACCAGCGGGGATGTGAGTAAGAATAATAATAAATAGCTAAACAGTCTTTCATTTCAATGACATAACCGTTGAAAACTGTATATTACTAATTATTTCATCCTTGTAATATTAGTGGACAGATTTAAAACAAGACCCCTAACATAAGGCATATTAATGTCTAAATGATACAAATCTGATTCGATTTGAAGGATACTTGCAAAGCATCACCCGAGCTTTATTGTAAGCTGGCATACATATGTATGTACTAAAAAAGATATTGCTGTTTACCAATAAATATACTTCACATTGACCGAGCAAACCTTTGTCAAAATTCTTTGGGATAAAAAAAGGCTTTCACATGAAGAATTCATGTTGTATTTTATAATGTTAAAATAATATACTACATTATTAACATTAATAACGAAATGTACAAAATGAGAGAAATTATCTGCAAACACACTACTAATGTAAATAAATATACTAATTATAATAAACTTTAAATGTATTATATTTTGAAATAAATCAAATTTTGACAAATTTTTATTGATCAATTCTGACCTGAAGATAATATAAACAATATTATCATTGCCAGTAAGTATTGTATTTTCTCGAAGTATGAAACGAAATACAATAAAACTGGCACTTAAATAATGGGACTTGCTTTTTGTTTTTGAAATGTGCTTTGCTGGATGACGAAACATTGAAAACAAAACAGTACAATACCCATTGCAAATGCTTTAATTTTCGTTATGCCGAATATTGGGAGGTACTATTATACGGGGCTGCGGTAATACGTGGGTCTACGTGGTCGTCAAGAAAATTTCGACATTTCGTGCTTATGCTCATGATGCACGATTTTTTCGAAAATGTCCTGAATTCAATCTAACTAATTTGGGGACGACTACAAATTATTAGTACAGTTCACGGCTCGAATAGTTTAGTTGAAGTCGCAACTAATTACATCGTATATTTTACAACCGTTGATGACAGTCAATAGTGAATAAAGCCTTAACACCACAAAAACGAAACTTTAAAAAAAAATGTGGAGATTATGTTTTAAAGAAAGAAGACTTTTATGATACCATTATAAACCCAAGTACCCATATGTGTTTTTGTTTTTTTTTTTTTTTTTTTTTTGAATGCCTGATGTAAATCCAGACCAAAATAATGACACAAGCTCAATGGAAGAATGTTAGTTAATGAACAATCAACCAAATAATGAAAACCAGTAAGGAAAGGTCAAAAGTCGGGCGGGCCGACTATATGATACCCTGCACCACTATGCGTATTTAGTAGAGCTCCCGTAACAAAAAAAGTTTATTAAAGTGCCAAAATTCAGTCCATTTGGGCTGATATTAGCCATTTGGTGCACAATAAACCTGAAATATAGGAGCTATATCCAAATCTGAACCGATCTTGACACATATTTCTGACCTGTATCTAATGCGCACGTGAAGGTCTATCACCCCAAATCGGATGAAACATAGCTATATAACACCAAATCGAATGAAACATAGATATGGGAGCTAATGCTATATCTTAACCGATGTTCACCAAATTTGTAGTTCTTGCTTCTACGATGAACTCAGTCGGAAGTGCAAACACTCAGTCCATTTGGGCTGATATTAGTCATTTGTGCACAATACACCTGATATCGGATAAAATTAAATATGGGAACTGTATCCAACTCTGAACCGATTATGATAAAATTTGCCAGAGGTATTTCTGAACTGATCTGGTATCTGCTACCAAATATCTTCTTGTAGAGTACATATTACGCATGTGACTGATTTTCAAATTTGACCTACTTTCTTCTACATTGAATTCGGTCGGATGTGCCAAAATCTATATCTAACTTGAACCGATTCTCGCCAATTTGAATAGGGTTCGTCCTTGGGCCAAACAAATATTGTAAGGAATATTTCATCTCAATCGGATAAAAAATGTTTTTCACAAAAATACATGGACAGACGGACATGTACAGGGTGAGATGAAAAACCTGCAACCAACCTCGGACTTCTGTCATTTCTAAGCCACTTGTCCGACAGCTGTTAAAATTATTCCAGTGTCAGCTCATTTTATTGTTTACAAGGGTACAAATGCGTTTTGATGAGAATTTTCCAAAAAAAAAAGTTATTCTTGATGGAATTCAAGCGTGATAGTGAGATTTCTTTATATTTGGCTGGAAAACCACAAGTGGCTATCGTTAGAGCACTACAGCATTTAAATGTGAATAAATCGTTTATATCTCTACCATCGCTCGTTATCGTGATACTGGTAGCGTAGCCCGACGTCAAGGAAGTGGACGGAAGAAAACAGCAACATCAGCAGAAATGGTTCGAAAAGTAAAGAAACGACTTGATCAAAATCCCATGTAGAAACAGAAACTGAAATTTTAATGCCAATACCAAAATATTAATATTTAAGTCAATATTTCAAGCAATTATTTTCTTTGATGCAGCAGTTTGGTCCAAAATTGCAAATTGTCATTTAAAAAGTTACAAGTTTTACAAAACAATCTTCTTAAACTTCCAACAGGACTCAGCACCATCACATTAATATATATATATATATATATATATATATATATATATATATATATATATATATATATATATATATTATTAATATATATTAATTAATATATATATTAATGTAATGAAAGGTTACATAAGGAAAAGAAATTACAATGGAATTCTGCAAAAACATACAATTATTATGTGGAAGTGGGAGCTCTGGATGTAGGTGAGAAAAGACTTACCAAGCCGGAATGAGCATTAGGAGCTCAAGCAAGAGAACACAAGAAGTGTAGGGAATAGCTAACAGCTATGGCAAGAGTCTGATCACAAACACGGATGACGTTTTCATTAAGGTAATGGAAATAGATTCTGACTATGATATTTGGGATGTTCTGCAGCAGCAATTTGAAGCAACTTCCAAAGACCGATTATTCAAAACGTGGACGAAACTATTTTCTTTTGAATGTAAACTAATAAACTTCTTATGCAGCTCTGTTTATTTCAAAGAAATTTCAATAAATCTGATGGTCGAGGTTGTATGGGAACAGCGGCCAAAAATACTATATGTGCAGATATCAATATGAATCTTTGGTTATGGTATAAAAATGAATTATGGAATAAAAATAAAAAATGTGACAAAATGGATATGGTCGGTGCATGTTTTGGCATGGCCCCCTTACAACGTACCTCCCGAATGAGAGTTATTTGCCCAACTCTTGTCACATTTCCACACCAGATTGTTCTGTTATTTGACATTTTACGTTCTGGAGAGTTAAAGAATAATCTTACTGAAAATTATTTGGAACGCCCCGCCTTCAGGTAGAGTCCCCCTGTAAAGGTACCTCCAAAAAAGAAGAATTTTTATGCAAATCAATTCCAAATTATATTATTTTCACATTTTTTGTGAACAAAATAAATTAACAATTTATTATCAGATTAAATCAAAGTTATTAATGGATATTTATAAATTTCAGTGTTATTCGAGTAAATCAAGTAGTGGTTTTAACAATATTTTTTATTGTTTGTTAACGTTCGCTGTCCCGTTATAAAAGTGTCAGAGCTCAGAAGAGGACGTTCAATAAGATCTGTATTTGTTGAAATACGAAAAAAATACTTTCTGTGCAGATATCAATATGAATCTTTGGTTGTGGTATAAAAATGAATTATGGAATAAAATTAAAAAATGTGACAAAATGGATATGGTCGGTGCATGTTTTGGCATGGCCCCCTTACAACGTACCTCCCGAATGAGAGTTATTTGCCCAACTCTTGTCACATTTCCACACCAGATTGTTCTGTTATTTGACATTTTACGTTCTGAAGAGTTAAAGAATAATCTTACTGAAAATTATTTGGAACGCCCCGCCTTCAGGTAGAGTCCCCCTGTAAGTTACCTCCAAAAAAGAAGAATTTTTATGCAAATCAATTCCAAATTATATTATTTTCACATTTTTTGTAAACAAAATAAAATAACAATTTATTAAAGATTAAATCAAAGTTATTTATGGATATTTATAAATTTCAGTGTTATTCGAATAAATCAAGTAGAGGTTTTAATAATATTTTTTATTGTTTGTTATCGTTCGCTGTCCCGTTATAAAAGTGTCAGAGCTCAGAACAGGACGTTCAATAAGATCTGTATTTGTTGAAATACGAGAATGATGAATGAATGAATGATTTAGTCGAAACTTTTTTTATATCTTTGTTTCTAGACTCCCCGGCCTCCACAGATAATTCTCCAATCGATACCATGGTATATTTTATAATGTCGGGTGCTTATATTAAAATTGTATATACTGTGGGTAGAAGATAGTACTTTTTAGCAGTTTCCAGTGCAAAGGCATTAAGTTTTTCGAAGCTCACATTTTTGAAAAATCCTCTCACTGTATTCCCGCCTTTTTTGAAAATCCACTGCCTCATACTTTTGGCTTGCGTACAATTAAGCCCATTTCTTTTCGAAATTTCAATCGGATTTTTTTCTTCTTTTTATTGGAATTGATTTTTTTCTTCTAAGTTTGACCTAATTTGCTATTTTTAATTTCTTGTCTGTAACAAAGAAAGTACTAAAAACAAAAAAAAAAAAAAAAAAGAACGAAGGCGATAATCCAAATTCATAACTATCGGTTTGAACCTCTCTCTTTAGGCTTCAATATTATTCATTTCTTTTGGGCTTGTATTACATATATAGCATTTAACTGATGACGTCTGAGTCGAGACACTACATAATTTACCATCCATCATAGTAAGCTGTAACTTGTGATCAATGTGTAATATTTTATCTTCTCTGTTAATAGTTGTGGGAATTAATATTTTCTTTGAAGAACTTTTCTTCTCCAATGGATACAGCAATAAGACAAACAACATATAACGACAAAAACGTATTCTATGTCACTAGCACCATAAAACTGACAAAGTTGCAGCGAAGTTACTTCAGTATTTTAGGCATAAGATACACATCTGACAAAATCTGAGAATAAAATTAGCAATTTTAGAATCTTAGGACCATTACTAATAGCGTGAAAAAAATCACATTGGATGATTCAGGGAGGAAAACAATTAAAACTTTAACAGAAATCCAATTTTATTGTCAAAATTAATCTTAAAGGCGACTCAAAACTCACACATCTTCTATACAACTACTAAACACACAAATTACTTCAATAAAAAAGTCAATTCCTTGCTTTTCAATAATTATGCCAATATTTGTCATTTTGAAATGTATTTAATTTTGTAATACAGATCTATTTTCACACTACCTTTGCACTGATCCCCCTGAAAAAATCAACTAACTACATTATCTCTTTTTTTATGCTATTCTCGAAGTGAGCCGTTAAAGTGAAGCTATTATTATTATGTTTTCTAAAAAGTTTACCCCTTTAGAGTTCGTGTGTAAACATTTTACAACAAATATCTGATTTTCATTTTTTGAATTTCGTCCACTGTGCAATGGCGAGAAAAGGTGAAACTTTGTGATGCATGGTATGTTCCTCGTTTGTCGAGAAAACTTTTTTCTGTATTGGCTGCACATGACAAAAACCCTCAGGTAAGGTTTATTCTACAATAAAGAGGGTAGCCGAATGTAAAATTATTCAGAGTTGATCTTTGCTCCGTGCCTGCAAATCAATGCGTATTCTTTTCGGCAGAAAATAATCTGCAATTGTATCATGAAAGATGGTGACATGTTAAGAAGAAACTGTAAAATGAGATGGGTATTCGAGCCAAGAACTATAATAAAATCTGTGAGACTTACAAAGCTCCGCATATTCCAAAAGCCAAGGGCACACGCTTAAAACCTTGCTCAGTGATAATGATGGTGAATTTAACAACGCCGAAGTGAAGAAAATTGCTGCAAAACATAGAGTAAGTCAAAGGTTTACTGCTCCATATACTCCTCAACAGAACGATGGCTCTGAATACAAAAATAATAATAAAAAGAAATTTATGAACTCGAATAAGAATGTTGAGTTTCCAAAGTCGCTATGTGTAGAATTTGTAATATCTGCCATATATATTTTAAACCGAACGGGAAAATCATCTGTAGAAGATAAAAGCCCTTCCGAGATTTGGTATGAAAAGAAACCAAGAAATAAATAACTCGAATTATCGGAACAAAATGCTATGTTCATATTTCTAGTCACGCCGGAAGAAGGTAGACAAAAACGCAGTAATGGTTTATCTTATGACGGCGAGAGATATCGTGTCCACATTATAGAGAAAAATATCATGGAAGTATCAGGAGATGTGATGTTTTCATAAGAAATTAGTGATTGCCCTAATGCAGGAATTGAAATAGACGCAATAGTAAAAAAAGAAAACGACGGTTATTCTAGTAATCTTAAAGATACACCGCAAAAGTGAAATATCAGTACGCATTCGTTTACATGACAATAAATCAGAGGATGTATAAGATTTTTACCCCCCAGAAAGAATTTAAGAAGAAGCGGTGCAAGATGCCGAACAGCAAGTAAAGAGCACCGAAACTGAAGATTCAATAAGCGACTTAAAAGATTTGAAGGTTTTGAAGAAATTCAAAATGGAAAACGTCTAAGAGAACATGATTTAAATTGACGCATGTGAATATAGCAATATATAACTGTTAAGAAATCGAATAATATCAAACTCTATTAGCGAGGATTGTTATTGTTATTGGATTGTTCTTTTGTCTCTAGAGTATAGTGGTGGATCCATGTCCTATCAACAGTTATGAAACGACGCTTAAAACCCATTTTATTTCGCTTACAACGATCCAAACAAGCTTGTTCATTCTTATGCTTTTTTGATCGACTGTTAACGAATGCGGCACCCATCTTGCAGCAAGCTTTTTCATCTGTAGTTCTTCATTTGAGATACCTATGATTTTAGCAATTTCACGCACTTTTACTCGTCGATCTTTTAATACCATATCATGCACTAAGGCTACAATTTCTGTTGTTGTTGCTGTTTTTGGACGTCCCCTACATGGTTCATTTTCAATGCTTGTACGACCACGTTTAAATTCAGCAACCCAATTTTGTACAGTTGCATATGAAGGAGCTCTTTCACTTAACACATTCACCATATCATTATGAATTTCTTGTCCCGATAAACCTTTTTATGTAAATATTTAATGAAGCAAGCAGTTCTAATTTTTCCATTAAAAAAAATGCGGATGCTGAACTTTATGAAATTATGGTACAAACAGGGTTTGTCGTTTAAAACGAAAGGTTTATGGTTTGAAGCAAACACTCAGTTGCTGGAGACAAAAGAACAATCCAAACAATGGACTAAAGCTGGAGAAAGTGCCCCAAAGAAGAAAAAATTCAATAGGCTAGTAAGGTTATGGCAACGGGTTTTTTGGGACTTCAAAAGTATTTTATTGATATCTGCAAAAGAGTAAAGTAATAAATTGAGAGTACTATTGCAACCTTTTGGATCAATTAAAAACGTCCTGCCTTGCAATACAAAAGAATAATTTTTTCATTAACACAACGCATCAGCGCACAAGAGTGTTTTAACAATGGCTTTAAATCAACGAATTAAAGTACGAGTTGCTTGACCACCCACCTTATTCTCCTTATTTAGCTCCCAGTGACTTTTACTTATTCCCAAATCTAAAAAATGCCTTGCTGGCAAGCGATATACTTCAAATGAAGATGCAATTACTGTTGTAAACAACTATATTGAAAACCTTTAGGGAAACTATTTCAATCAAAGGATAGAATTGCTAGAAAAGCGTTGGACTAAGTGAATTGAAGTTTCAGGAGATTATATTGAAAAATAAAAACATTTTTGAAAAACTAACTATTCTCATTCATAGATAGGCTAAGAAGTTTCCGAACAGCCCTCTTATACGTACTCTCAGAAGGAAATAAAATATCAAAATTATGAGGAACTTGTTTCTCGTATAATATATTTCCCCAACAGTTGGCTCTACAACAAAACCATGATTGGTGACGACTATGAAAATACCCTCCTAAAATAAATTTTTCATATATACATAACTAGCTGACCCGGTCCGCGTTGCCAGCCCGTAGTTTTAGTCTTTAATGCATAGTATTTAAAGCATAATTATTTTCAGCCAGAGGTTTTAATTTGAGAGTTTAAAACCTAAAAATATAGATCATATGTACTTAAATTAACGGTTTTTTAATAGCCCTCTACCCCCAAATTAGCCTAAAAACACATTTTAAGCCAAATCGATTCGATAATATAATCAAAAAATTTCCGCGAAGAGGTCTTCTACCCCCTTAGAATATAAGATGCCAAATAAGGGTAAAATCAATTGAAAAATGGGACCAAGTCGCTGGAAATAGCGGAAATCATCGGATGCCTTCATATAAGGGTTATACCAAAGCATGGTCCTATTCTTATAATTATTTGAAAGAATGTGTTGTTCTTCCTAAAACCTCAAATTACCAACATTTGAGGAATTTGAAAGGGGCTACATCATTTGAGGGACTATATCAATTTAGACCGACCTGAAACATATTTTGTACAACTGATTCTTCATGACACCCTGGACTATATCAAATTTAAAACTCTATTGTAACTTTTGTGAAGTATAGAGCAAAACATTTGAGGCCTTTAAAAGTACGTTGTGATTATTAATGTTTTGATGCTTTGAAAAGTATTTTTAGTCAAAATTGAAAATTTTGGTTTGTCAACCATATAACGGCATGTATAGAAAATATGCAAACTTTTCGATTTTTTCGGTTTTTTTTTCAAATAAGAATTTTAAATTCCAAAAGGTATTTTGAAACAGTTCTACACAAAACTCCATATCAAAATATAAAAGTCAATTTTTTCAGTTCCACGATTTTTATAGAGGCTTTTCTCAACGTTTTCTTTCATGAAAACGTTTCTACTGTAATTACAAATAACCAAAAGAAAATTTGAGTCAGATCGGCCCAGCCGTTCTTAACTAATGTGTTACTATACTTTTTTAAATTCTTACAGATTTAAAGAAGTAGGTGTGGGCAGTTCCTCTGGCCCCAAATATATACCTAAGGTTGGAGGGAGAGTCAAGATTAAGTTATATACTAACTGTGGAACAGATATCTTCATGATTTTGGCAAATATTAGGATTTCAGGTAAATTAAAAAAGGGCGTAAAATTGGGCGTGGTCACTTTTTCTTTGAATAAAAACAAAACTCGGGGTAGAACTAATATTTAAAAAAAAATTATTCATATCCATATATATAGATTAAAAAGTAGACGTGGTCAATTCCCCAGCGGTCAAATAAATACCTAGGACTGGATGGAAGGTCAACAGTATCTCATATAATAATTTTCAAGCCGTAATTTTAGTCTTTAATGCTTATTATATCCTCCACCTTGGAAAGAAGGGTATATTAACTTTTTCATTACGTTTGTAACATCCCTAAATGTTCGTCATAGACCCCATACATATATATATTCACAATCAGCATAAAATTCTAAGTCGATTTGTACGTCTGTATGCCTGTTTGTTTAAATTACGATACAGCCCACATTATTTGACGTATAGCATCAACATTTAGCAGAACAATTTGTATTGTGTATAGGATGGTTGGTATTGAAAATGAGATCTATCGGTCCACGTTTTTGGTATAGTCCCCATATAACGGGGAAATTCGAAATTCGGTATTTTGATGATTTTTGCCACATTTCTTCTATATTTTTCTTCTATTTCTTCTATATATTGATAATTCTAGTCACATTTACGCACATAACTGTTTTAAATTTGGTATTTTAGAAGGTTTGATAGATTACAATCCTTGAAGTATAAAATTGTCCACAGAGGTTCCCGTTTTCGTATGGCCCATATAACGGCCTCATTCACTTTATGGTTTTTTGATAAGTTAACTGCATTATCCAAACAGTCTTACTGGTATATGAAGTTTAAAGTGAAACACGCTTGAATTCTGATACTTTTATATAAAAATATTTTCTTTACCCTAAGGCGGATGATAATAATAGTTCTGCCCGGCCGAACTTATTTTTTTACTTGTTTTTAAAGTTAAACAAATTTCCGGTTCCTTAAATAATATGATGGTTATACAAAACGTGATCAGTTTTTGCAAGGATGGTTTCTTCCCAAATTACCAACATTTGCCGAAATTAGTAAGAAAATATGGTTAAAATGTAAGATATACTTGAAATCGGGTTGAATCCTCATCCTGGGGATACGACCCATATTTTGAACTGCAAAAGCGATTTAAGGTATCGTGAAAGTTTAGGAAGAATTTCTGAAAGAGTAGAAACCCTTTTCCTCTGCTTTTTTGCGCTTTTATATTCGGCATTTCACCGATTGCAGTCCAAATGAATTTTGCATATTGAGTTCTCATTGGACGGATTATTGTCATGTGAAAGAAGTAGGTAGGTGCACGTTTTGAAATGAGCCCCATAACGTTTTGTCGTTTATTTTTGTATGTTTAAATGTGTTCGCATCTTCCAGCTGAAACACGATGTAGATCCTGGAGTTGAAAGCTAAATGCCAATTTCAGACATGAAAGATCGCCATTTAACATCGTATGGCGTACTATTTCTTTTTGATGTTATTTATTCAGAATTCAAAACAATAAACACTTCTGTATAGTTTTTAAATTGTAAAAATTTCACGCCCAAAAGATTTTTTCTTTTTTATTTTTATTGGCATATTTTACAATTTTTTTTGCCAAGATTCCATTCCAAAATTGTATGAATTGTGAAAATCCTTCAAAACGTTCTTGAGTTATAAGCATAGTAACTAATAAACACAAATTGAAAAAAAAAAAAAATATTCAACTTGTTCGCTGGTTTTTTACAGCGAATGTTTAAAGGTCCTTACGAAGTTTGGTCTTTACTATTATTTTTCCCCGATTTTGAAATGCAGTAGCCTTTTTTTTT